GACAAATTTCTATTAAGAAATATATTCCCAAACATCTAATTAGTTTAGTGTAAATTTGTTGATAAATTTTTCGTCGTCGTCATTTATTAATTTTAAAAAAAATTGATTCTCACAATGTAACCACCCAAATAAATGATTTTGAAAGTAGACTTTGCGCTCAAACTCAGTGATTAAACATCATTAAAACGTTTAAACGTCTGAAATGAACCCTAAAAAATTTCTCCACAATACTAGATTCTCAGTGTTGAGTTCTGATATTTTCCTTTTACTTCTCTTTGCATAAATCCGAAAGCCTTAATTTAGACAAATCTTTGTTTAAAAATATCAATTTTAATCTAGAAAAGCAATGATATCTTTTTCTTCTGTCGTTAGAAAAAGATTTCCATTTGAATTGAGCATATCACTCTATAAATGGAGAATCACAATAAGTCCCGTCATTTCTTATTTTTTTTACATAATTTAAAAATTATTTTTGAACTTGTGGATTCAGCATCAATGCAAGTGAGAGGTAAAACATTTAATTTATTTTAATTTCAGCATCAAATTGAAAGTACGTACTTAAAGTTCAAAACTGAAAGAGAAAAAACTATGGAGTACACGGAGATAGTCGTCGAGAAAAATAAATAAAAGTATAAAAACTAATTATTGGAGGGCGGGGAGGGGGTTGTAAAGATGATATTAAATATTAACATCAAGAAACTGTTTGAATTTATGATTTATACTGCAACTATTCTCTCTTCCTTCTGCAACTATTCTCTCTTCCTACTGCAACTATTCTCTCTTCCTACTGCAACTATTCTCTCTTCCTACTGCAACTATTCTCTCTTCCTACTGCAACTATTCTCTCTTCCTATTGCAACTATTCTCTTAATTGAATTAATCAACCCCTCCTCCAGCTGTCACACGATATACTGGTTGAGAGAAAACATTTCAAATAAAGGGATTTTACTCCATAAATGTATTGAAGGCCACCACCTCCCCCCTCTGGACACGCCTCTTTATTTTCTAGTAATCTTTTTATCCAATACAAAATATATCATTATGTTTTAATAATGCAAGAAAGGAAGAAGAAATAATCACAAGTATTAGTAAAATAGTGCATTTAGATATTATTTTGCCTTTTAAGATTAAGAATGTATGAAGGAACTATAAGATTATAAACGGACCAGAGACTAGTACCACTATTAGTTCTTGTATCAAGTTCTGAGTAAACATTTACAAAGTTGCAGAAGAAAACCGCTCCTTGTATTTTATATTAATATATAACAAACTATCTATCTATTTACACATAAATGTGTTTGCTTTAGTTGGCCCAAATGATTTACATCGGCAATTAATCTGCATTTATGAGCAATATTTTCTTTCCCTTGAATGTGTTCATGAACCCTGAAAGATGAAAATGATCCAAATTCTTTTCATTGTTCCCTTGTGTATGCGGATACATATATACTATGGTCCTGAGTTTCTCATTGTCTCAGGATTCATGTAGGATAGATATTTCCTCTACTTACCAGAGACCTGGAGAATATGCATTTCCTGTTCTATACCAGGGACCTGGAGAATATACATTTCCTGTTCTATACCAAGGACTTGGAGAATATTCACTTCTTGCTCTTTACCAGGGAACTGTAGAATGTACATTTCCATCTTTAAACCAGGGACCTGAAGAATGTACATTTCCAGCTCTATACCAGGGACCTGGAGAATGTACATTTCCTGTTCTATACCAGGGACCTGTTGAATATACATTTCATGCTCTAAACCAGGGACCTGGAGAATACTATACCAGGGACCTGGAGAATATACATTTCCTGTTCTATACCAGGGACCAGAAGAATATACATTTCCTGTTCTATACCAGGGACCTGGAGAATAAACATTTCCTGTTCTATACCAGGGACCTGGAGAATATACATTTCCTGTTCTATACCAGGGACCTGGAGAATGTACATTTCCTGTTCTATACCAGGGACCTGGAGAATATACATTACCAGTTCTATACCAGGGACCTGGAGAATGTGCATTTCCTGTTCTATACCAGGGACCAGGAGAATATACATTTCCTGTTCTATACCAGGGACCTGGAGAATATACATTTCCTGTTCTATACCAGGGACCAGGAGAATATACATTTCCTGTTCTATACCAGGGACCTGGAGAATATACATTTCTTATTCTATACCAGGGACCAAGAGAATATACATTTCCTTTTCTTTACCAGGAACCTGGAGAATAATCATTACCAGTTCTATACCAGGGACCTGGAGAATAAGCATTTCCTGTTCTATACCAGGGACCTGGAGAATATACATTTCCTGTTCTATACCAGGGACCTGGAGAATATACATTTCCTGTTCTATACCAGGGACCTGGAGAATATACATTTCTATACCAGGGACCTGGAGAATATACACCTATGTATCTATGAGTGAGGTTTGAGTTATGGGTTTATTATAAACCGACCTTGCTTACATATGGTTTTGTCTGTGTATCCTGAGGCCGAATTTAAAGAATTTGAGCGGCGGCTTAAATTTTAGCCGCGGCTCAAATATAGTTGGTGTTATTTAAAATTGTATTAAATGTTTAAAGATTTAAGCCGGTGATAAATTGAAACCGGTTTTGGCGGATTTAGGACGCAGCTCAAATTTATTAAATTCGAACACTGAAGATTGTGTGTTTGACGTACATATACAAAATACACAAAGCTCCGATAAAGAAAATAAATAAACTAGATTTTCCCGCTTTTTGTAGCTTTTCTTATTCATAAATAATAAAAAGTGGTCCAACAATATATGAGATCAGAGGCCGAATTTTAAAAACAGTTGGTTCCACTTAAAATTATATTCAATTTGTCAAACCCGGTTTTTTGAGGATTTGAGACGCGACTTAACGGACGGAAATCCTAGATAAAATAGAATATAGATGGCTCATGTCGTCTTCACTATACCGGAGGGTTACAATTAAGATTAAAATTTATCTATGGTGGTACTATTTACTGACATACAGTACATTGGATTAAATTTAATCAGATGTTTCCATACTAAAATTTTAGTTTTAAAACATTTTAAAACTATTAATTTTTTTTTTATTTCCTGATCTCTCTTTAGCTTTTCTGGAGAGCAATAGATATATTGATTGGTTAGAGCAAATTGTTGCTTATTCTTTTTAATGACCCGAGGGATACGCAAAGGTATTTGATTGAAAACATATTTTACAATGTTCAATGTAAAAACTATTTTAACCAGTAGATGTGGGACTTTCTAAATGAGACTGAGTATTGAAGCATGTTCTAAACATTAGATTTCTGTCAAGGAAGTGGTTTTTTCAAAAAAGTAAAATATTCGAATCCATATCTTTCCAACCAAATGTTACAGACCTTGTATATTTCAAACTAAGAATTCTGATAGATTAATAATCTAAATTTTAGATATCTAACAGTTTCACCAGATAAAGGGATTACAAGTTTGAGATTATGGCAAAAACTCAATTCCTTAATGCAAAAATAAACTTAACACAGTTCTTGGCAGAAAATTATTTTCCATTGCATGCAAATGATTGTTCTGTAAATCTTTCTGATCTTAGTAAAATGTTAGTTAAAAAAATGAAAACTTTGATGTTCCATTGGACTATGCATGGAAACATAGAGTAATAAATCGAAGAGGTAAAGCTTAGCTCTGATGTACACAACCGACCTCCATATTAATTAATTAATAGAGTGGTTGGTTGTGTACATCACGATACGTATCTAACATTGTAAACTTGTATATAGAGTGATCTTCGTTTTATTACTCTATGCAATTATTACTCTATTAAATAGAATGATTATTTTATATGTTGAAGGATTCGATGATTACGTAATAACTTAAATGATAAATATGTTATGTAATGAGTTATGATCAATGTCGCCTATTTTTGCATAATTTTGTATATATTTTTCTTGTTAGAAACTGTACATTAGAAATCTGTAAACAAAAGACTACACCATTTATATATGTATGTTTTTATATCTTTTTTTATAAAATAACCTTAACATAATTATATTTAAAGATTTTTAGGTCGACCTTACAATCTCATCCTTTGTGGATAACCCTGTAAGATTTTTTAGATTCTTTAATGCAACAGAATTTTTAGTTTGATGGTGAATATTTTGGATAAAAACTGAGAAATTTTCTATTAAAGGCACATCTTAAGAAAAAAATATGAAATTATGACCGTCTTGAGAATAAAAATTATTTAACCTTTAGAACCTATTTTAAACCATTAAATGTGAATTGTATGTATCTGCTATTTTATACCTTACTAGACTTTTAGTGATACGTGATGTCCCACAAAAAATTTGGGCCCGATCGGTTCAGCCGTTTTGACGTTTATTGGATACAAACAAACAGACAAGCCAAATTTATATATGAATTGTAAGGCTTTGTTGACAGACAGAGAAGCAGGCAAATAGAATAGAATATATATTAGAGTGGAATTTTGAAAATCCCTCGGTATGAATTTTGTCAGTCCCTTTTAGCCTGAAAGGAAGTTCAAAGTGTACAAATGATGTAAATGTTCATAAATTATATGCAGTAGAGTACATTAATACAGTATGTTCCCTAGACTATTCATTTCAATTTCGAATTTTTAAACCCTGTTAAATAAATTTTATAAAATGAATCAGGTGAATAAAAAACATCATTTGATTTATAGTCATACTAAGTTAAAAACCTATAGTTGTACCTATGGTAACATGGATAAGAAATCGGTCTTTTGTTGTACTTGTAGATAAGTTTAATATGAATCATTTTTAAAAATATATTTTTCTTAAGAATGCTTATCCTCCACTGTGGAAATTTTCCGCAAATCTTGGAACTTTGGGCCCCGCATTTTTTCTTGTCAAAAAATTTGACCTAATAACATGCTCAAAGAAATTCGAAGAGAAATAAAGTTTGAATCTCGAATATATATGTTCACTTCAAAGCTTCACTCGATTTCTGCTCTCTGGACCAAATATGTAATTTAATCCAAATTTAAAATTTATTCATTTACGGAATATAAAATGCTTTCTGGTATAAAATATATCAAATGTAATGTTATTACACGTCAGACTTTAAAGAATGAATGCTCTTTACAGTTTACAGTTTACACAACTATTTTAAAAGCTCGCAGATTTTGACCTTTCTCTGAGCACCATCTTGGATTGATTCTTTTTAAGAATTTGTTTACGAAGATTTCTGAATGGACTTCGCTCTGTCATAATTTGTCTCTGCCTCCTAACTCCTTCGCTCAGTTGAAGAGGGGAGCTCGGGGCCTCCTTGGAAATTTCTCTTTCCTCTTTCTCCTTTTCTTGTTTGGCTGCCCCGTTCCCCAGTTTAAATCGTTTGGCGGGTTTTCCTATATCTTGTTCCTCTGCTCTTCTTTTCCTAAAACAAATCATTCAACATTATTGGTTTTGTCCTTATTATTAATTTTTCAAGATTTAAGCTGGCGCAAACTTAAAACCAGTTTTTGGGAAATTTGACCCGCGGCTTAAATTCATTAAATTCGGACACAGAACCTTAAGAAAATATTGTTCGTAGAAATTTTTCTGGAGTGCAATAAAGTTCATATATTGACAAAATTGACTTTGAGAGAAGATGCCAATTTCCATTATCAACACTAAACTAAAAGCCCTGTAATATGAATGTAATTGATACATTAATATTAAACTCATTTTTCCGCGGCATTTGACCTTAAATATGTAAAACAAACTCTTACTATGTATCCATATATCTGGTATTCACTATTAAGCTGACCTGCAGCGTATGCTTCAGTGAGAGTCAGTATTCATTATAATATATTTCAAGATAAATATTATTTCAATCTCATTGTTGCTCATAGATGTAAATGGTTTCGTTGTGAATTAACCTTACAAATTTCTAATATCAGAGATCACTTCTAAATTGAGTTTTCATAATGTAAAATGTAATTATTTTTTACCTTGAATTTATTAGAAATTTCTTAACCGCGTCTAAGGATAAAAACCGTTTTCCGTTCGGAGCAATGTAAACTGTAATCTTTCCCTCACCCATTCTCACATCCAGTATTCTCCAACCAAAGGGAATTGTAGGTCGGGTAGTTATCAGGGTCATCTCCGAGGATGGTGTAAATCCAGTTCAAGATACAAAACTAGGAAGGATGGTATTTAGTAAGATGATAACAATAGGTGGCGGAGAATGCAATCACGACCACTAGTTGAACTTGACAGTCTTGGTTAATGATTTGGTAGTTTGCTGCTTTATCACACAACTGATGAGATTGAAGGACTGTGACCGATCCGGGCCGGGGGGCAGAACTGGTTCAATCTGACCGTCCATCACAAATCATGTTGACAGTGACGGGTTGCTAAAGTATGTGAGAGAATGGAAATTATTATAGGGGGGTAGGGGGTAGGACGAATGAAGATCAGAGCCTGTTGTATTTCGTAATATTAGAGGAATCTATACTGATTAGAACATTTGTAATTATTACATTTTTGTTATCAATTATATTTATAAATTACAGCTACAACCTTTTGTGCAGTAAAAAAAATAACATTTGTTTACATCTAACTGTGATCTTCATTTAAATAAGCTCTAGCAAGACGACTTTTAGAATCAGGTTATAACTTTAAAAAGTCCAATGAACATGAGACACAGCCATTTTAAAGTGTAAGACCCATTTCACTAAATTGGTGATTTGATACGTTATAGCAAATCTATTTACTTTCTAACATTATCAAAAATACTAAAGTATTGCTTTATTGTCGTCTTTCTATTCCATTGTTGTCTGGTTATCACTGTCCGCAAGCTGATTTCTAATTTACATATTTTTTTTAAATCCCAACTCTATTTGTCTGTATCCAAGATTAAGGATACAGGTAGGAGATCTGTATACATATCCTGTATCCAAGTTAAATGATAAACAGGGTGGATGTCTATTTGTCTGTATTCAAGTTTAAGGATACAGGTAGGATATCTGTATATCCTGTATCCAAGTGAAGGATATACAGGGTGGATATCTATTTGCCTGTATCCAAGTTTAAGAAAAAAGGTAGGATATCTGTATAATCTGTATCCAGTTTAAAGGATACAAGGAGGAAATCTGTAAATTAAGAAAAAGGGTAGATTAAGCATTGATCCCGATATCCACAATTCAAAAGTTCCTATACTAAAGAAGGATATCTGTATATTTTGTATCCAGATTAAAGGAAACAGGGAGAATATCGATCTGAAGATCCTGTATCCAGGTAAATAGATATAGAAAAGGATATCTGTTTTCTTGTATTCAGATTAAATGATACAGATTGGGTATCTTTATATCTTGTATCCAGGTTAAAGGATACAGGGAGGATATCTGTATATCCTGTATCCAGGTTAAAGGATACGGGGAGGATATCTGTATAACTTGTATCTAGGTTAAAGGAAACAGGGAGGATATCTATATATCTTGCATCCAGGTTAAAGGATACAGGGAGTATATCTGTATATATTGTATCCAGGTTAAAGGATACAGGGAGGATATCTATATATCTTGTATCCAGGTTAAAGGATACAGGGAGGATATCTATATATCTTGTTTCCAGGTTAAAGGATACAGGGAGGATATCTATATATCTTGTATCCAGGTTAAAGTATACAGGGAGGATATCTATATATCTTGTATCCAGGTTAAAGGATACAGGGAGGATATCTATATATCTTGTATCTAGGTTAAAGGATACAGTGGGAGATTGAGTGGAAAATGATGTAGATTGCCCAGTCCCCAGGGATATCAGTCTTTTAAAAAATTGATATATATATATATATATATATATTTATAACAATTTTGCAACTTAGACATTTCATCAAAAATCCCTCTCATTTCTGGTCAGTAGTACGTCACTACTTTAAACCATTTTAAAATTATATCACAAACCAAACTTAATACAACAATCAAACCATTTAGCACCATTTAGCGACAATCTTATTTCCTAATTGAAAAAATAAAAGAGACTTATATTTTTCAATTAAAATAGTTTTCTTTAATCAATAAAATTGTAAACCAAACTATCATTCTTCAATAAATCCCTAAACCGAAATATTATCCTTCAAAAAAACCATAAACCAAACTATCATCCTTCAATAAACTATAAATCAAACTATTATCCTTCTATACAACCATAAAACAAACTATCATCCTTCAATAAAACCATAAACCAAACTATTATTCTTCAATAAAATCATAAACCAAACTATCATCCTTCAATAAAACTATAAAGTAAACTATCATCCTTCAATGAAATCATAAAACAAACTATCATCCTTTAATAAAACTATAAACCAAACTATCATCCTTCAATAAAACCATAACCCAAACTATCATCCTTCAATAAAACCATAACCCAAACTATCATCCTTCAATAGAACCATAAACCAAACTATTATCCTTCAATAAAAATCATGAACCAAACTATTTTTCTTCAATAAAACCATAAACCAAACTATCATCCTTCAATAAAATAATAAAACAAACTATTATCCTTCAATAAAACCATACACCAAACTATCATCCTTCGATAAAACCATAAACCAAACTATAATCCTTCAATAAAACCATCAACCAAACTATCATCCTTTAATAAAACCATCAACCAAACTATCATTCTGGAATAAAACCATCAACCAAACTATCATCCTTCAATAAAACCATTAACCAAACTATCAATCTGCAATAAAACCATAAACCAAACTATCATCCTTCAATAAACTATTATCCTTCATTAAAACCATAAACCAAACTATCATCCTTCTATAAAACTATAAACCAAACTAAAATCCTTCAAAAAATCATAAACAAAAGGTTCTTCATATCACACTATTAATCAAACTATTGTGAACCAATCAATAATTAAAACGAATAATCATCCATCAACCAAAACAAAAACAAAGATCAAAGTTTGAATCAAAAATATTTTTCTTCAAAAAACCAGATCAATTTTTTATCTTATCAATCATGCTAACAACCCGTTTACTCCATCTTTAAATAAAATGATTTTGTGTAAATAAAAAATGTAAATATTGAGAAAATCCTAAGTTCATCAAGTTTTTTTATCTCTCTTTGTTTTTTAAGCTGAGATAAGTCACATATTTTGTGGTGAGTAAAAAGTAAAGAATATATTGCTGTCTGAATAAACACACATATCTGTTATATAAACAAACTATATTTCTAGGCTTATTTACAGACTAGCTTCCTCATTTATAATTTCCTAGGGAATTCTTTTTCTTTATTTCCCCCCCCCCCCCCAACACCCCCCATTTTGGATTTGTATTTAGAAAAGTTGTAAAGTAAAGAGGCAGCTATTTTTCATGTTTAGAAGTAAAAATATAAATATCACATAATTTAACAATCCTAAAGGGATTATCTTTGCAATGTTAAGTGATCCGTCAATTAAAAAAAGAGCATGCGCGATTTACAAATAGTCGTTTTTTCACCTTTAAAGTTTAAATTAATCGTCAATAAACTCAATTTTTTCTGTAGACAGATATTCAAATCACTTTAATGGAGAACCCACAGTTGAAGTAATATAATTTCAAAAAGAAAAACATGGATAGCACAAGGACATTCCACTCTATACATGGAGGGTCTCATTAAATCTTATTTATAGTCTACTTAAGAAATAACTTGTGTGGCAAGCTTAGTAATAAATTCATTTTATTTACCTTAAAATCTAATTTTGTAATCCATATAACGTTATATACTGTTAAATAGTCAAAGTTCTCAAATATCAATGGTGTCGGCTTTAGGTATTAAAAAATCCAAGATTGAGATAAGCATACTGTGTGAGACTGTGTCTGGGGAGTGGGATCCATATTTGCTGCCCATGTTGGTGATGCAGTCTTTTAGCACAAATTACGTGGAACTAGCCAGAAGGAAAAGGTAAATTCTGTGCGACATTACTGCAATACGACTTTGAGACCGAGTAGCTCCTCTAGTTTTGATGAAAATAACAAGTACGCCAAGGTAGTTCAAAATATTTAGTTTTTTTCAATAAATCTTTAATAAAAGGAGTAATGATTGAAAACAGATAAAATTTCCATCCTACGTGGATTTTACTTTAGTTTAGAGTGACATATACATTTATAGTATACACTGTACAATATGAATGGTATACAATATACACTGTGTAAATACTATACAGAATACGTACGCTGTACAAGATGGATGGTTTTCAAAATACACTGTATAAATATTATACAGAATACACTGTACAATATGAATGGTATACAATATACACTGTGTAAATACTATACAGAATACACTGTACAAGATGGATGGTATACAAAATACACTGTATAAATATTATACAGAATACACTGTACAGGATGCAAGGCATACAATGAATAAATGTATAAATACTGAATCTATGTAAGAACGAGTTTCTGGGGAAAAAAACCTGGAAATAAAAACTTGTGAAAAAAGTCCGAATTTTCTCAAGTCCTTTGAAAAAATGTCTCTGGATTCCTGGGACTTTTTTCCTAAAATAGTATGGGGGCTGCCAATAAAGTCTCAGGAAATAAGATCTCAGGAAAAAAACGTCCTGAAGAAAATAAATCCGAGGAAAAGAAAAACCTAGAAAAAAAGGACTTTTTCCATTGTGAATCATGCATTTTCACTTGTTAGAGGACTTTTTTTCCGAGGACTTTTTTGTATAAAATCATATTGGAGCCAGAAAAAAAGTCCTAGAAACTAAAGTCTCGAATTGGTAGGACTTTATTTCCGGAGACTTTTTAATAAAAGGAATTTTTTTCACAGGACAGGACTTTTTTCCGGAAACTTTTTTTCCAAGGACTTTTTTGGCGGTTACCACAAATACTGTACAGTATACACTGTACAAGAAGAATGGTATGCAACAATGAATAATGGTTTAAATACTATACAGAATATACTGTACTAGATAAATGGTATACAACAATAAATAAATGTATAAATACTTCACAGAATACACTGTACAAGATGCAAAGCATATAATAAAAAATGTATAAATACTGTACAGTATACACTTTACAAGATGAATGGAATACAACAATGAATAAATGTATAAATACCATACATAATACACTGTACAAGATGAATGAAATACAATGAGTAAATGTATAAATACTATACAGAATACACTGTCAAGATGAATGGTATACAATGAATAAATACTGTACAGTATACACTGTACAAGATGACTGGTATACAATGAATAAATAAATAAATAATATACAGTATACACTGTTCAAGATGAATGGTATGCAATGAATAAATGTATATATTATAAATAATATACA